CACTCTTAAGCTAAATATATTTTGGCTGAAAAGCCAGATGCGTATTTCTGCAACAACTTCAGCCCACTCAGAACCCAACTCGGTGTGTAAAGACATTTTCATCCACAAGTTGTATTGCTTAAAGCCAACAACGTTCTTCAGCAAGAGTGGGAATTACAACCGTAGTCTGAAACGATCTGCGGGCCCTAGCTTGTGAAAACTGCAATATTTCTTCTGCTATTAAAAAGAAAAAAAGGGTCAGAAAAGTGCTGCTACAGTGAGGTATTTCTTCAATTTATTAGTATTATTATTTCATCTGAAGAAAAATCTTGCAGTCCCCAGAAGGACAGATAATATTAACTTCTACTAGAACGAACTACTGTTCAAAGTAAGGCTACATTTCTCCGTATTCCTGACCAGTGGTAAGAAATCAGTAGCCCTCAAAGCAGCCTTACAAACGTGTGTTTTAGTACAGTAACCAACACAGAGCAGAGAGCTGTCTCATCTGGTCAACAAGCAGGCATTGAAGAGAGTTGTATGTGAAATGATGTCCTTCTTGAGGCCTTAGGAACCTCATCCCAGAGTTCAGGGATTGCACAGTAGAAGAGTGAGGGCTCGTATACAATAAGCTTTTTCTGGGTACTGCAATTGCTCTTTTCAGAAAGAGGATGAAGTTTGCATAATCATTTTTAAGGTCTCATCAGTGAAATTATAGAGGATTTTCCTTAGTCTCTGGCGTCTCTCCTCAGACAACTTTGAGGATTTGGCTCTAATTGCTGGGAATGTATTCGAAGTACAGGAGGAACATGAATTACAGTAAGCAGAGTTTATGTTAAGCTTCTAGTATATGTGCTAGCATGCTTTAAACCAGTTTAGGTGTCTCCAAATGCAATGCCTGGTGCCCAAGATCCAGCTATTGTTTAAGAGAAGCTGAATTACCAACGCTTACTCATATCAAAATGAGCAAATGGATTAGTAGCAAGAGTTATGGCTGTGCTAAAAACAAAAGCCAAGAACTTAAACATAGCATTTCCAGACTGCAATTCTGTGACACTTCAATATTTAAACAAAATATTACAAAAACCTCAAAGCAAAGATTTGACATTTAAGTATAGGGCGTCAATATTGTACTGTAGCTTTCATCAAAGATATGTGAAAATGAAAACCAAAAAAATGATGCAGACTTCATCTACATCACAAGTTGTAATGTACTGGATATAAAAGACTTTCAAAAAAAAAAAAAAAGGAACAGCATTTTGGATAATTACATAATAATTTACATAATTATTGCCCAAAGTCCTCTATCTGATAATAAAGGAAGCAAAAAAGTGGACACAAAGACTGCACAGTCTCCTTTATAACAACATATAGTAACTTGTATACACCAACGCTGCTTTCAGCTAAGACAGATTGGAGTTTGGTGATTTGACTTCTAATTATTTATATCTTCAAATCCCACATGTGAGAAAATTGCCTTGCACTAGGAACAAACAAAACAGCACTGGGAAAATTAAAATTCCCTGCTCATCTCCATCAATCAATACAACTGGCTTTAAGCAGTTAGCAGAGGCTTGGCTGAATACTCTGGTAACAAATGTTGCTTTTGGCTACCACTCAGAGACTGGTCCTTGCCTATTGGGCATCAAATTCAGTGAGCTTTGAACTTGGTGACCAATTATGATAACTTCGTGGCTGTTCTCCTGGAACAGCAATACACACTGTCATGCAGGTGGATCTCTGAAAAGATAACGCGCTGAAGAAACACCCAAGGATTGCAAAGCTGCTAACAACACAAACTGAAATGGTCAGAAGTCAGAGTGGGGAAAACCCAAACAAAAAGGATGCAATGAGTCCAAGTAGGGAAAGCATCAAAGAGAAAGCAAGCAGGTGTTTTGGCACAAAAAGGGTGAAAGGAAGTGAAGTATTCTGTGCTGAGCTGATTAGGATACAGCTGACAGGAGAGGACTGGGGCAGAAAGAAATTTTAAGTGATTTTTTTGAAGCACCCAATAGTGTTGAATAATTTATATATTTTCTCTAGATACATTCTTTTCAGTCCGTGTTGAAGCTGATTGACAGAAAGCTTGGCCATGTTGGGTTTTCATGTGCGCATTTTTATCTTCTTTTTTTTTTTATTATTATTTAAACAAATCAAGCAGGTAAAGAAGGAAAACAGTCACAATGATTCTGGCATGTGCTAATCAGTACAAGACTCAGACTTCAGAAGGGAAGATTCATTGTCTGAGTAGTAAGCGCTACATTACTGGGAAGCACGTTATAACAAAGTAATCATTCCTGTTAGCTTTCTGTTAGTTGTCCTCTAGTTTGTGCATTTTCTAACAAAATATCTCAATTCTTGTCTCTGTTACTATGCACTGATTAGGGCAGCGCAGGTTTTTGTTTTCCATGTTTTTGTGTAAAGGAGGATGCTTTTCAAATTCAGGTAACTTGCAGCAGAAAGCAGCTAATCTGTGGCTAGCTAAAGAAACATTTAGCAATGCATAATATGGAAAGCCATGTTAACTAGACTTAGTTTCAAAGAGCAGAAGAAATTATGACACAGAAAGCCTCTAATTACCAGTAACAGATGATCATTAGTTTCCTTAAGCTGCATAAATAACTCTGTGCTCATAAAACTGGAGTTCTGAGAGAACACGGGTCACTTACACTTCTAAAATCAAAAATGACTTTGTCAACTCTCTTCTCTCTTTAAGTACAATTTATTCCTGTCTGTGCTACAGAAATACTCCCAATTCAGTGCATGGGGAGTCAAAATGCACCATCTGTCCAATGTTCCTGAGAAATTTCAAGGGAACAACGGCAGAAGATATGGAGGCTGTCGTTCTTGGAAACAGCAGCATCAGCATGGATAGATTAACTTCTATTATACATTACAGTGTGTAGGCTAGACTGTATACATTATACTCCTGTCTGCAGTAGAAAACTTGTACTTCACAGCACTGTGCCCTGTAAAATCTGTTCAGCCATCAACTGTACTTCTATATTACTTACTCAAGTAAGTCATTCTCAAATTTTTCCATAAGTGAATTCAAACCTATTCATACTTCTGCTTGCACTCATATTGTGGCTTTTAAGAGATTGCCTTGCACACTTTCATGTGAAAAAGCTGTGTGAAATTGAAACCAGACTAAACTTAAGTAATTCTTCAAATAATGGATTTTGGATCAGGTGATTGAATTGCAAGACTGGTATTGCAATGGTAGTTATGCTTTTAATAAAGTGCTTAGAAGAATGAGAATCGGCAGAACTGCTGATGCATTTAGAATCTGAAATTCTCATTTTTATGAAGTCAACTCAAAGCCCTCTTTCCAGAGACTTAGTATATTCTAGGTCTAATCTATAGAAAAGTCTGGAAACATAGTAGGAGATTAAACACTGAATATTCTTCAGCAGAGTAGAGACAAAATAGCACTGCATCAAATAACTCATGCTTAACTCTGACTGCCAAATATCTTACAATTCAGTTTTGCTCTTCCTGGAATTAAGGGGGGAAAAAAAAATCAAAGGAAGAAAAAAACCCAAACAACAACTTCTTTTTCTTCTGGATTGGTTTTCAGATGGTTTAAATTATGAGGATCTTTTGAGCATCAGCACAAGGACTAGGAAAGAGGCAGGAATGCACAGCAGGAAGTAGAGAACAAAATTTATATTGATTTGTTTTGTCAGGGAATCATTTTTTGAAACTTCTACTGCATGTCTTAAATCACTCCTTTCTGTTACATTTAAAACCCAGCAAGCTTACAATGGCCCCCTAAGCTTTACTAATTTGACATTCAGAAATGTGAAGCCCTGTCACTACAGCTGTTTTACTGTATTTCATTCTCCAGTTGCACTACAGCTGACTATTCTTAAATTCTTAAGATGAAATTTGTTAAAGCATTTTTTGAGACTTGTGTCTGTACAAAGTAATTACTGTGATTTTTCTTTACCAAGCTCACTTTTGGCATACATCATTTCAGGAAAAGAAAGAAGCCCTGCTCCTCTGGTTTTGGAAAAGGAAACATACATCCATTGCACGGCACAAGCGTAGATACTTTTGAACAAAATTTAATTGCATAAAATATTACACACTTCAGAAACCTGTATGGTTACTCCTTTAGAAACTTTTATGGGACTTCTGTAACATAAATACATGCAAAATACAAGGATATAGAGCTTCCCATTCTATTTTCCTACCAGCAAAACTCTGTGCATGTAAGGCCATCAGCCAAAGGAACTCCCCTTCTTGTAAGCCATTTCTGTGTCAGAATCAGTGTTTCGAGTATCCTTGATATGATTCTTAAGATAACTGCTAGCCAAATTCTGCGTGTTGCTCTGTTGTTGTACAAGCAGCTGCCAGATGGTAATACAGAGAAAATGCATTTAATGTCAGTTGCCGAACTGGAAACCAGATGGCATAGCAGAAGTCGGAACAAGACATTTGCCAGCTCGTTCTAGCTTCCAGCTGTGGTCCCATGCTGCACCATGGCCACGTGGACATTGGCCTTTTCACTGTCACCATGATGTCCATATCGTATTTCAGGCAAAACTGTGCGCTCATTCAGAAAGGTGAGTTGACAGCTTCCTTTTGTCCATTCTCCCCAGAAGATGCACTGAAAACCATGAGGAATGCGTGTGCAAAAGTCAGTGGGCCAGCAAATTCTTCGTTGTCTGTTGTTAAGAAGCGTGGACACCTGGAGATCTTCTTGCAAGGGCCTGAAAGTCATTGAAAGCAGCTTGGATGGACGTTCTGGTTTTGTAACTCAACTTCTCAGAATTGTTGTTGGTTTGCTTGGTGGATTCAATAGGATATTGTATGGGAACTGCTGAGTCACGGCCTGAGCCTCTGATTGATCACCTGAGGCGAGCAATGAGTCAGCCCTGGGAGCACAGGTGAAAGCAATTCACCTATGCTGCAGGAAGGGGTGGAGCCTGGCTGCACCTCTCCTAGACCCATTTAAGAGCTGACTGGCTTTTCAGGCTTGGGAGAAGTAGTAATGCTTTCTGGAGCATTCCAGGTTACCTGCAAACCATCTTTTCAAATAATAAAACTTTGCTGGCTGAGATACAGCTAAGGTGTGTGAGAAAAGTAAACAGTCTAATGAAATGCTCAAGCTACAGCAGGTGCTGCTTCCATGTCTTCCTCATGAGAAGTTATGGGATGGAGTAACAAACTGGTTATTGATGTTTGGGAGAAGATAATCCTTTGTATCTCAGACTGCTACAGGGCTATAAAGCAGGGTGAATCAAGTGTCCAAATGCAGAATAACTACAAAGAACTCCATCGTTACTAAAAGCCTCCTAGAAGTTTCCATTATATTTGGAAATCAGTCGAATGTTATTTATTCTCACCATCAAAGATTCGCTCTTCGTTATTAGCTGTAATTTATATTGATTCCATTCTTAATGGTTGGTTATGCCTATATCTCTTCTTTGCTCGTTCTTTCTTATCAAGCCTGTTCCCCATGTACTTTGATCACATTTAACCATTCCTGTAATAAACAAGAGGACTGAGATCCTTTCGTCCTTCCCATTAATTGTCCTTAATTAATGGGAATTAATAAAGAATTACTCTTGAGGTAATTCTCCAAGCCCTCTTAAAGCTTGCACCAGTTGTGTTCAATGGGGGATACCATGCACTTTAGTGAGGTGGTCAAGACTAGGCAAGAACTTATAGGGACTGCAGAGGGAGATGACTCTGAAGTAGAGAAGGGAACTGCTCAGTGCTTTGTTCTGGGATGCTTCCTTCCCAAGTGATTCCTACGGAAAACGCAGGGTTATGCTCCTACATAAACACAGTGCAGAAGCACAATGTCTACAGGCAGCCCTGCTGCGGTGACAGATCTCCTATGAAGAACGAATTCACCCCTGAGGAAACCGAAGCAGGTTTTTCTCCCGTTAAAGGAAAAAGGGCACTTCCCAGTCAGAAAGTTCCCAGCAAAAAGCCGCTAAGAGGCACCAGAGAAATGGATGCGGCCGCCGCCCTGCAGCGCTGCTCCTGAGCCGCCCAAGGAAGCGCGGCGCGCCCAGCCCCGCCTCACGCTCCGCCCGCGCGCCCCGCCGCGGGACGAGGGCGGGAAACCGAAGGGGCAGCAAACGGCACCTCGAGTCTCACCGCCTCCTCTCGCGAGAGCCGCGCCGCCCTGGCAACGGCGGGCCGCTGCGACCATGGAGGAGAAGGAGGAGGAGGAGACGGCGGGCTCTGAGGCGTCGGTGTACCTGCAGAGTATCCTTCCGCCCCGCCGCGGGGTGATCCCCTCGCCTGAGGCGGGCGGGCTGCGGGGTTCTCCGTCCCCTCGCTGCCCTCCTGTGTCCCCAGCTGTCGGCCCGGGGCGGGAGCTTGCCTCGTGGAGCTGGGGGGAAGGGATGAAGGAAGATGTTACGGGATGGCGCTGGGAAGGGAGAATGAGGGGTTGTTGCTGTGTTGAGGCACCCTGACTGAACCTCGGGGTAACGTTATCCCCCAGTAGGGCTAAAAAGTTAAAATTCTTCACTGGAAGCCTCTTGTTGCCTCCTGTGTGTTAGCATTGCTGGTGAAAAAGCAGAGGTGACCCGAGGAGCAGCCCTTTTCCTTGCCAGACACTCACTGGGTTTCAGCACGCTGTGTCCAGGATCTAGAAAGGATTTGGTTTGCTGTGTCTTCATACAAAACAAAATGGGCTCAGATTCTGCTCAGAGTGGAACACAGCTTTTCAAGGCATGTTTTGGTTGGATGACCCAAACTTTGGTTGTGTTGCTGGGTCAGTCCGGTTCCGTCCTTACTACTTGTAGCAGTGCTTAGCTGTCAGCTGCCAGTTCCATGCAATGCTGGGAGGTCAGATAGTCCTTATTTCATCAGGCACTGCCAATACCTTAGTTCTCTTGCTAGAGTTAGGATGTAAGCCCATTAAGAAAGAAAAAAAAAGAAAAAAAAAAGTGGAAGATTGGCTTTATGAGCTTGTCTCCAGGCTGTGCAGTGAGCTGAACAAAGGGTTGTGTTCAGTGTGTGTGTGTTTAAACCAATCCAACAGCAACACAGCGTTTGTTGGGGGAATGTCATGGTTGGAAAGCTGTTAAAACGGTGTTTCATGGCTTAATTATACGCCTGGCTATCAGTGTTTTTCATTTAAAGGTTTAGTCTGTGCACTGTTATTTGCACTAGTGCAAGGAAATAGAGCTTCCCCTTGTTTTCTACTTGTGAAGGTGTACTGAAGGTAGAGCTGCACAACTTCACAAGTACTTGTGAAGGTGTACTGCAGCTGAAAGGTCTGGTAATTGTGGAAAGCAGTCAAAGGTGGGAGTTTGAGCTGAAGAACCACCCATGCAGAAGATAGCTTTAGAGAAAATAGTCTTAAAAGACTAGTAAACATGGTGTGGATAAGTTGAGATGTCAAAAATGTGGTCTAAATGTCCGTTATTTAAACTAATGTTGATAAATACTGTACTATGAAGTGATGAAGAGGCTTAGGGATTCCAGAGAAGTGTTCAGATGTTTAGTTTTTAACATACATATCTGCATATTCATGTAAATGGAAATAATCATTGAGTTCATTCAGAAATGCACACAAGTGGTCACGCTATGTGGTGTGACCATTCTGTAAAGTGAGTATGTCTGGTTAGTGGTGGAGTATCTTAATAAAAAAGGGAAGTCTTAGAATATTACCCTAACATGACAGTATTGATGTGTCTTTGTCTCAGATTCCCATCTGTTGCTGTCCCTGTTTTTAGAACAACAACGGAAAGCTGTTCCTTGCTTATGCTGTGCATTTGTGCCTTGCTGTCGTTCTCATTTTCTTATGTAATTAGCAGTTCAGATGGGCATTTCTCTCTGTGTTGAATGTACAACGTGCAGGAATTGGGATTTGTTTCACTGCCATGTGGTCAGACCCTGCTCCTTGGTGTTCCTGTTGTTATGGGGAGCTGCAGTCCAGCCTTCTGCCCCAGTCCTTGGCTGTTATCCCACCTTGGTTGGAGTACAGCTCCTGAAAGTCTTGCCAAAACATAAACTATTACCATCTCAGTTCTCTTACATCATCCTTATGGGCACATACACGCCCTGGAATACTGTGCTGAGAAAAAGTGCATTAATTGAACTGTATGCTTTATTTGATCTGCCATTGAAGTCAGAATTCATAATCCAGATTACTTGTGTAATGGAGAACAGATGTAGACCTGCTGAAGCTAATGACTGGAGGGTGAGGCTCCTGTTGGTTTTATTTGCTTTTCCTTCTGAAAGAAAACACAATAACTTTTTTTTAATGAGTTCCTGCATAGTTCAGGTGTTAGAATTTAAATTTGAGAATCATTCAAGTTAGAGAACGAAGTTTTTACAGAGGAAGAAACCTGAGGTGCAGAGAGGCTGTGACTTGCATTCAAGTCCTGTGTTCCACATCTGCGGTAATTAGGGAAGAAAATAAGTGGGCATGTCAAACAGGTGTTTGCCTTTACATCCCTAAGCCTAGGTAGGAAGTTTTCAAGAAGCATTCATACCAGCTTCCTATTTATATAAACAGTTTTTGTAGAAAGCATGTGGTTTAATTGTGCAGTTCTAGATACACAGACGTGCTTTGACTTGATTACTGAAAGTTAGGCCTTTATTTGTGCAGAGATTTCACTCATTTTTGTTTGTTTAGAAAGGAAAATGATGCTTTTCTAACTTAAGACTCACATCTTTACAAACCAAAGGTGGTTATTCTTTTTGGGATAAGGCATGGGAGCCTTCTGGATGCTTACAGTTCAACTGATAGCTTGCGTGCTGTGGTGCTGGGATCTTGAATCTAGATGGTACTTCTGTACATGTTGTACTGCACAAACTGTAGCAAAAAGCTGTCTTGTTTTGGGTTTTTTTTTGTCTTGTTTGCTTTAGTTGAAGACTTCAGATTAAGGAAGTTATATTAAGCTAGAAAATCATGGCTTTTTTCCCCATTTTTATTTCGTTTTGTAAAAAGAAGTTACCACTTAAAATGGTTGTATGTGAAGCAGTGAATTGCCAACTGTTCTTCAGAAGTTAATTTCTAGTTTATTTACGTGGGTCATTTGTAGGCTAACTGATTTCCTAGGGAAACAGCAGTGCATCTTACAGAAAACATTTTGGTTATACTTCCCGGAGCTGTCAGGCTGGTGGATGAGATGTTTATTTTAGTTTTGTTTTACATCATTTGTTATTTTAATGAAAAGTCTGAGCCATTTGGGGGAGCTGTAAATAATTTGCAGTGGATTTTTACCATTTCAGAGTTCACTTCTCTTTGTACTGTGGATGTGCTGTGGTTATTATTTAAGGCTCTTGCATCGGCTTTGGTGAAGTATTCAGTGTTTGATCTCAGATGTTCAATTTTGAACTCATCTCCATTTGGTGTGGTTAAGAGCAGGGGTGAGAGTGCTCATCACAGCTGGTTGTCCTTTGGAGTGAATGCATCAAACGTTTCAGCCTTAACAAAACCTGCAGAAATTACTATCACAGACTACTCTAAAGATGATTATCAGTACGAAGAGGTAATGTTCTAAATTGATTATCTTATGTGATATCTGTAGTATTCATGTTTTGATTCTTTTGTTTCGCTTCAACATAAAAGTAGCTTAGGAGGAGTAGTGAACCTCCTTTTCTGAGGTGTGATGATATCTTTAGTGGTCAAGAGAAGATTTGGTATGAGCTTTCATTACGCCTTTTATTTCAAAATTAAGTATTAAAAAGATACAGGTGTATCCATTTCAGCTTATTGTTAATGAACAGAATCATAGACTCATATAATTGTTTGAGTTGGAGGGGACCCTTAAAAACCATCTAGTCCAACTGCCCTGCAATGAACAGGGAAACTTACAGCTAGATCAGGATGCTTAGAGCCCATTTCACTCTGACCTTCAATGTCCCCAAGGATGGGAAACAAAATGTAAACAGGCAAAATATTTTTAATGGGAATGAGATAGTTTTCAGTGGTGGGAATGGAGGTAGAAACAGTTGGGCTTGGGAAGATTCATGAAACATTGATATTTGTGCTCTAAATCCTTTCATTTAGGTGTCAGCAGATGATGAATTTAGTCTTCAGGAAGGTGATGAGGATCTGTCTGAGGCTCTGCAGGCTGTTCAAGAGCAGGCTGAAGATGCTCACATTTTAGTAAGAACTCTATGACAAATCAGTAAGACTAGAATTTTAGCTGGTATTGCTGGGTTAAAAAGTACATGTCATCACTTAATTGAATTATGAGATATTTTGTGGAGAAGATTACACTTTTCAGAAGTGTCTAGGACTAAATGTGTTGTGATGGAAAAAGATTGAGTTACCTGTGTGCCATCTTCCTTTAACTTCCATTCATTTTATAGCCTGTAAACAAAGTCATATTTCAAATACATAATTTGTTTTAAAACATTAGTAAAATCAGTGAGGTTTTGTTTTATTTTGTGAGTAGAATGAATGAGAATGTGATCCCCTACGCAGGAAAGCAACTGCTTGTACTTCACACCCACAGAAATGTGTACCTGAAGGCTTTGCTGAAGGAGGTTGTTTCTATGTTAAAAATAAAGAAGATACTGCTACGTTGTGTCGATTATCATAGAACCATAGAACGGCTTGGGTTGAAAAGGACCGCAATGCTCATCCAGTTCCAACCCCCTGCTATGTGCAGGGTCACCAACCAGCAGACCAGGCTGCCCAGAGCCACATCCAGCCTGGCCTTGAATGCCTTTCACAGATAGCATTAGTTTTGAGTGCCTCTTATGTTTACAGCTGGATTTCAAAACAGTCGTGATAGTTTGGAGTTGCACACTGGGATCATTATATTACATTTTCCTAAGTACAGTCTGCTTGAATTTATTGAGTTATTGCAGTCTAATGGAGAAGTGCTTTTCCCTGTCTTATAGCCTCATCACTAAGCTATTATCCTACTAATATTTTGCCTTTGCAAAACAGGCTAAGTTCAAATTCTGAATAATTCTTACTATCAGAATGGAGGAAAAATCTGTATTTTCTTTTACCCCAATCAGTTCTGCGTTTGATATGAAACTTTGAGTAAAGCCTAGCCATATCAAAGTCTTGATGTGTTTTGAAGCTGGCTATGACTGACAGTTCAGGGAAGGACTTCAGAAGCTTTTAAAACTGATAGTTAACCAGACACTGGATAATGCTCTTTGGGGATAACTGCATTTATACCTATTTCAGTGTGAGAACTGGCATTCAAATAAAAAGGGAAACCAGGAGTAATATCTTTTATCTGTTACTTGACTGTGGAATAAGGAACTAACATTTTACCTCTCTTGATTGAATTTTAAGAGAATGAAATAGTATCTGTCCCACTTACTCCAATTGAAGATAGACAAGCTTTACTTGAATCAAAAGAAAATGTGGTTGAATTCAAATTCTTCTTGATTTTATACTTATGCTAGCAGGTGTCTGTCTTGATTCATTTTTTGGAGGCTTCAATTTTTCCATAATTTTGAAATTAAAATCATGGTTTCCACCTGTAGACAGCCATGGAAACAAGAATGAATATACTTACTAGTTCCTGGATGGTTTTCATAAGGATGTGCAGTGTGTATTGTGAGATTCAAAGACTCCAGTGACACTGAGAACCAAGCGCTGCAGCACGTGCTTTCACTGACCCAAGTAGAAGCACCGTGTCCATGAATTAATACTGAATCAGTGCTCCAGCTATGAGCTCAGAGGCACGGTGGAAGGCTGTCTGCACACAGTAAATAATCAGTGCTTTTTTTCTTCTTTCCAATTATCAGGCTTCTAAGCTTGGCTAAAATAAGTTACATCACGTAATAACAGCATCCTCAGTGAGCTTCACTGCAATGGTTCTAAGTGATTCTTGTGTGTAGTTGCTGTTTATAGTAACCTGTATACCTAATTCCTTATTAAAGATTGCATTTCAGTGCTTCGTGCAAATGTTTTCTTAAAAGAGATTTTACAGAGAAAGCATGGATCAAGTGAGCATCCAGAAATATTCTAGCACTTTGCCAAATGCAGGCACTCAACTTAGAAACTGTGGGTATTTGTAGTTACTGCAGAGTCTTTTACACTCTATAAGAAAAAGGTCAAGCATAACCAGGAAAACCTAATTCTTATTTTCAGACTTCCTTCTGAAGTCACTAGCACTAATTACTAAATGAAGGAGAGCAAACATAAGCAAATGAGATGATGCATTTAACCATTTTTTCAAAACTTTAAAATATTGGTATGTATGTATTAAAGCTATGTCTCTACAGGGGATATTGAGGTGGCTTTTTTCGCCCCCTTTCCTGGGTTTGTGCCTGGGTGCAGTGGAACTCTTGGCCTTTGGAGGAGTTTGGGGCTCCCTTACTTGGAAATTGCCATTTGCAGCACATCTTTGTGTTTGGATCCTCAGAGAGAAATGAGGCAGATGGAGCCCTCATCTCTGAATGCTGTTTCCCCCCCAGTCAGAGGCAGCTGATACAAAACAGAGTCGTGCAGGCCACGACATGATTTGCATAGTAGTGATTGTACTTACTGTGTCTGTTCCATTTGTCCTTTCCTGTCATAACTCATGATTCATTTTTTTGTCTGTTCTCCTTGCTTTAAGACATTATAAAGTTATATCAAGTGTTTTGAAAAACAGAATGAGTATCAGAATATTTTGCATATTAAAGGATGTTTTCAGCTCGTAGAGACCCTAAGAAAAGGTTACAGAACTTCTAGAAAATCACACAGATAAAAGAAAGCAGACTGAATTGCTTTCTTTAGTAGATAGGGCTTTTGCACTTGCATTCCAAGACCTTTATTTTTTAGTATCCCAGATGATAACATGAAGCCACATTGCCATCATTAACCTTCTGTTTTGCTCTATAGGTTTGATTATTTTGTTTGATCTTGTTAAAAATCTTTGAACTTTTTTTTTGTTCCTGCTTTTCCAATCTGAGTTTTACAGAAATGTTCCAGTTTGTTTTCAAGGGAAATGATTTACCTGATGTTAATTTTTCTTCACTGAGGAAAAAATCCTCCAAGTCTTGTGGAAATCTATAGGGTTATGTGCTTGGTGACTGATTTCTTGGTCATGTGTGCAATCCTTACGCTCAGAGTCTTTTGAGGATTTTAATTCAAAGAGAAGTGTTTAGTTGAGAGCAAATAATTTCAAGGATTCTGACTGCTGAGTCAAAATAATGGTTTTGTCTATGTGGCTGCTGTTGGGGGTCTGTTCAGGTCTGTTCACACCCCATATATTAATTGTTCTTCCTCATTTCTTAAGAGGTCAATATACACAAAAAATCACTGCTTGCCATTCTATAGATCTGAAGAAAGTGGTTAGCCTAATATTGCTTGTGAGGGCTGCAACAGAACTCAGACTTTCCCTCTGCATTCCTGAAGCTCTCTTCCAATAGTGTACAAATAGGCTGCATTCATTTTTCCCTCTGCTGTTCTCTGCTCAGGTCCTGAAATGATTCTCAGTGCTAGTAGCTAGCTAATAAATTCCCCTTTGCACAGATGAAATGGATTCCTCTCATATTTCCATTTATTAAAGGAATCAAGCTGTGTTATTTCTTCCCAAGACTGGCTTTATAGATGTGCTTGGGAAACTACAAGGAATGATATTAAACGCAGACATCAGACTTAGAATAAAGAAGGAAAAGCAAGAATAAGAGTGCAACTGCCATGTCTGCAAATGTGCACTTTGTTTCACATATTGCCACAATTAGAAAGCAGGCCTATCTGATATACTGTATTTCTAGTAATGAATATATACTAAATATTGTCTTGTACTTGGCATATTGTAATATCCCTACTGTTGCCTTGATCTTGCCCATCCACTTTTTCTGTCTGTTAGGCAGGTTGCTTGAATTGAACACTTTGTTTCATACAAAATGGCAATGAGATCATCCAATGTAGAGAATGCCATGTGTTTTTATTTTATCAGGAGAAATGCTTTTATCTCCAGGTAATTTATGCAGTCATGTTGATGGAGCACCTCTTCCCCTCCTTCTTCTCTGACCTTGCTGGCTGCAGGGCTGTCTCTCTACAATCTCTCACTCCTCTCTCCAGCTGCTGTTGTGCAGCAGTTTTTCTCTTTCTGATGCCTGCTCTCCTAGAGGTGCACCCAGCATTGCTCAGAGCTGAGCTCTGGCCAACGGTGAGTCCCTTTGGGAGCAGCTGGAGCTGGGTCTCACATGATGTGGGGCACTACTGGGTCCTGCTCTCAGGGCTCCACTCAGTCTTAGTAGCTTGTGTTGTTGACCAAGTCCATTATAATATTTTGCCCAAAGTGAAGTTCCCTAAACACATTTATGTATGTCAGCTAACTGCCAGGTTGCAGCAGTCTCCTTCACCTGATAATCTTTAAATAGCTTTGGGAGAGGAAGTTTCAGGCTGTATTGTATTTTACTTTCATAACTCCTCGTGTCTTGAAACCCCTCTGGATGAGCCATGCACTGAGTTGGCTGAATGCAGTTAGGTGAAGTAAAGAAATTGATATTACAGCAGTAAGGTCTGAAAAGCAGTTTTCCTCTCATAAAATCTTGGTTTTGTTTTGATTCAGCTTTTGGCAACTGTCCTTGACCCATGAGTTGACCTTATCTTAGTAGCTGTTTATATTGATGGTGGCACTGGAGGCTGGATATGAAGCCTCAGTGCACCATCTGCCTTCTGCTAACACTTATAGGGATGTTGTCTGGCACTTCACTATCTGCATATGGATGTTGAGAAGAAAAGGAAAAACTGGTTTTTGTGGGGCTTCCAAAGATGTCTCATTATGGAGATGCAGCTCTTTTATTTTTTCCATTATATGCATAATTATATAAAAAAAAGAGTAGGCCACTTTACTATCATCTACCAAAGAATGCAGATGTCCAAGGTAGAACACTGATTTCCTCGTGGGTAGCTTTGAAGGTTGCCAAAGGGACATGAGAACTAACATTTCCTCTCTGCTCAGTGACAGAGAAACATCCATTAGTTCAACTAGTTTCAGACCCTTATCAGTTTATGCCAGGTTCAGAGTACTTGCTTAAATCAGGTAATTTTTTACTTAGTTCCTATAACCTTCCATAGATCTTGATACTAGAAAGTATTAGATCAGTGATTGCAAATGTGATAAGCAAAGAGAAGGGAGGCATTCAACTGTACTCCGATAGATCTGTGACTTTAGATGACTTCAGAAATAGTGATAACTACATTTCTCTTGTAGGTTTAATAAAAAATATCATGTTCTAATTTCAGGCTTCCAAATCAGTTCTGACTTCAGAGAAATCAGTATCTGAAATACCTGAAGCGATGGATGACTTCTTCTGCAATTTTCTGGCTGGTCTGGGTATGTCCAGAACCCTTGACTGCTTCCAAACTGAATGGTAAGACATTTTAAATAACAGGATAATAGGATACAATAGGGATAATAGGAAGTGAAGCTCAGAATTCAGGTATTTCAGATATTTTGGGGTGCATTTCCAGAAAACTTGCAGAATGAATCACAAATATGCAATGTCTACTGAACAAATAAATGTGTTAGATGAGAACTATTATTTTTAGGACAGATTTTCCCAAAAGCTGAATCCAGGGAGCTGCTGAACAGGTACATTTGAAGATGTTTCTACATGATGTTTGCAAGCCTGTGGTGATCAGGGCCTTGGGCCTCTTTTGTGACAAGTGAAGAGAAATGCCTCATTTGTGGGTATTGTTTAAATATACTCACATCTCCATTGGCTACCAAAGAAAATTAGAAACCAGCTGCAATCCAGAAATTGTTGATTGATGAAATAAGTCCAGTCAAAATGACCAGTATTTCATTTCAGTGATGCTGAGAAACACTGTGCTTCTGCCATTTTCTTGCTTTCCAAAACCTGGGTGCTCACATAAACACTGAGTGCTTTGTAGTGTATCATAGTATTAAGTCTGCTTTACTTGTTTTGCATGAATTTGGATGAACTTGTATTTTGAAGTAGAATAAGCACAGTCTTTGACACTTTGTATGACTTAGTAAGTCAGTCAGAATAGAATGGTAGTTGGCTTGCTTTTGTTTATTAATTTCAACGTGACTTAAATGATCATTAGGAGCACTGTGGTTCTGTACTTGTTTCAGCAGTAGGACTGGTAGTGTAATGGGAAAATGTTTAGCAATTTTTATGGGCAAAGATAATTAATACTAGATGGATATAAATAGTGACCTTTTTGTGAAACTACAGCTTCCTTTGAAGCATTTACTGTCTGAATTTATATCGGTGGCAAAATTCAAATTGCTTTCTAACAGAGCAAGAGCAGGTTTTAGCAGGCTCTATCTAATAAATCCTTAGGTGTACATGCAGTTTTTGTTCCTCTGTGAGTAGTATGTTTAATTTCAGTAGCATTACAAATAAGCTCAGTGTGTCAGGATACAGTCCTACTGTATAGCAACTAGCTGTTTTAATACCTTATTTCATAACCTTACTTCCTGTTGGTTTGAGATAGATAATTTACAATATTAATGAAAGTGAGAGCAGATTAGTGTACTCAGGTTCCTCATTATGTATTGGGACGGCTCTCTTGGTCTCACGCTGTGGTGATCAAGTACTAATGGAATTTCAAATGAGAAATTAATTAACGTAGAGAAAATTTATCAAAAGGGCTGCTTTGAAATAATTGTCTGTCTAAGATCTAAAGGTCACTTAAATTGAAGCGAATGATCTGTTTATTTCAGAGTTTGAAAAAAAACATTTTGGTATTATGTCCAGCACATAAGTATATAAATAAAACAATCATGACCATGTAAGTGGTCATGATTCTTTTATTTTAAGGCAAACTCATTTTTTTTTGATGTCTTGAAAAAATTCATAGCATTCTCAGTCATTTGCTTCACTTAAGTATTATTTGCACATTTTTTCCTTCCAACTATACTTTAAAGAAATTAAAATTAGAGTTAACATTAAATTACATATTCAAAAAATAATTTAAACTTTCTGTTCCTTTGATATACAAGAACTTATAGTGCTTTTGTTGATCATGAAATGCACTGGATTGACAGCTCTGCAATGTGAAGTGCATGAGCTGATCAGCTGTGAATTGATGTATCTGACAGTTTACAGCTCCTAATCCCGGAGAGCTCACTGCTGCTGGCTGCCTGGTACCAGTCTGATGAGCAGATGAGCCATTTGCTGCTCACACACAGCATGGAGCTATCACTGCCTTTAGTTAGTAAACTCATTTGAAAGGTTATCTCCAAGTGTTTTAGAGACCTAGAGATGTTTCACTTGGGAATAAATTGAGCCCTGCAGGCAAGTTGCAGAAACATGATTTAAAAATTCTTTTCTTTTTAATGTGGTTATAGTTGTGAATAAACTTACATGATCGTACAAGGTGAAAAGCTATCTGATTCTTTAGTATACCTTGAAAAGTTTGTCTGGGTCATGCATAACAGAGCATTTGAAGCAAAGCTGCCATGTCCTCCCTGAGTATAAGGGCAGATTCATTTAAAACCTTTTCTGGTAGAGGAAAATGGATATAGGTTGTGATCCTCCATGTCATAACTCCCTGAAGACAGTGGAAGCGATCTGCTTGTTTCAGACAGACCTGAGTTTCTTCTGTTTCTTCTGTTGTGGGTCCTCCTTTGCCTCAAAGTCGTATAGTTCTGTTAATGTACATTGTGCCCCAGGCTCATAAACCCTGAGAGAAATGGGGCTTATTAGTTCCAGAACAGCATCACACTAAAACAGACTCAGTTTTTTCAATTAGAGCTGGCAAAGAATACTCAAGTAGCTTCAAGTTTGCTTCAAAACCCAAGCGGGGTTATCCATATTGTCTTGGTCTTGGTGCTAGGCATTGTGCTGAGTGTCTGTCTACGAAGATGAGAATAAAAATCAGTTGTTCCCAGCTTTTCCTTTATTCCCATTCTTGAGGTCATTCAGAAGAATCAGTTGTGTTCTCAACTTGAGCTTGTTATGATTGAAACATGTCTGTGTAGAAGTGTCAGCTTGGATTTATAGGACACTTGCAACTGCAGTAAGTGAATACACTTTGCATATTTTGGATCAGGAGCAAACAAAAGTATTTCCTGATACTGTTTGTATACACTGGTTATACATTCAGTTTGTAACTTCTCACTTAATCACAGAAGCATAAATTTATATTTATTTAATTGGTCTCTTGCTGCAGGAGATGGAAGCTCAGATCCTCTTTGTCTTAATCTAGTTTTGCACAAGTCACTTGCCCACAGAGCAAGCATAACATGATAATATGAATTTTCTACTTATATGCCACAATAATAGATTGGAAGAACACACCAGGGCTTTGTTTTTTGTGCTCGTTTCTTTCTTAGCTTTCTGTCGAAACTGTTGAAGAGGTTATCAATTAAAATGATAATTTTCTGTAAGAAATTCTTGTAAAAGCCAAAACTTGAAATTATAGTTCCTGAATGCATCTCTAGATGAGTTATCCCTTGATAAAAGATTATCCTCAGCTGTCTATCAGTTAGTTTAATTGCATGGCCTGTCTGCAACCTGATTGCTTTAGAACTCTTAGGAGCTTGAATTCAGTGTAATTGATAAAGTAGTAATGTATTATTGTAAGTCAGTCTGCTGTGGGCTTTGATCATAAGATCATAGTTGGCCATCTGTTCCAGCGGGTTCCAAATTCTTAGTTAATTGTAAGTGGTGATTCAAGAATTACAACTCATTTGTTCTGAAAACCTTAAAAAAAAAATGCTCATGTGTGCACAGAACTAATTTCATTTTGCGTCACAGTTCCTTTCTGTAATGGAATGAAGTGAGAGCAACAACTAATTGGCAGTCAGCTGGGCATGCAGGAGCTGTCTGAGTTTTACAGGCTTGATGAAATGAAGTCTCGCAATGTTCTGTGTTTATCTATTCTACTTCTACTGTGTGCCCAAAAACCTTCATTTTTGAGAGGGCTCTTAGATGAGAGTGAGTTTGTCAGCATTAATTGTATTCCATTAAAATTGTCTTTCAGAGATTTTAGCTCTTCTGGAGGCTGACTTCATCCATTATCCATGTCTGACGTGTCCTATGTAGAAAGTTGGTATTTTTCGTGAAGTGCTGGTGGGGCATTCAGTGAAGAAGTTTTCCTGGCAAATGGATTAATAGATTTATGATCATTGGCAATGAGAAGTGCCCTTCAGTATTTTTGGTAGGAATTATATCTGCACATCAGTCAGTAATCATAAAATAAATGAGCTTCCTTCTTGACATTAGAAGTCTGTTGCCACTGTAATTTGCTTAAGAAAACAAAGTGAAGAAGCAATGACTTCTGCTTTCAGCTTAATCTTTCAAAATCCTAATGTCTTTTGGTGTCAAATGTGAATGACAGCTTAATCTGTAGGAATGAGTGTTTCTACAGCTACCCATAGAATTCAGACAAGCAGCTGACTATAGGAAGTCATTTGGATACAGGAGTTTCTAACGTTCCCCTTGACTTTTTTTGAAAGATCTCAGGTAACAGTTGCTTACTAAGTAAGAGTCCCCTATTCTGTAGAACTACTTGTTTCTGCAGCATGGTTTCTTGATCTAGGAATGCTGCGCTTACTGACTGCTGCGTTTCCTCTGAAATAATGTTCCTGTCATTTCTTTTTGTGAGTTTCTCCCAGCTGCAGTCAAGATGAGCAGGGATAAAGCTCGTATGCTTGGTTTTCATCTGATAAGAACTACTTACAGTTCTGCTGAACTTATGTGGAGCTGATATCATGGCTGCACAGTGTCTTTATCTTCAGTGTGTCTGTAGAAGTTTGTACTAGCTGAAGGTCTTGCCCTTCCTTCTTTCAGGATAGAAGCAAACAAAGAAATAAAGGTTTTGTACTTACATGAACTGGATTCCAGAAGAATCTCTGCAGCGTGTGCATGCATGGAAATATCTTATGTTTGTATATATGAGCTTGAACCTTGCTATGCTTTGGAATGCTTGGACAGATCCTCATAGCTTACAGTCATTCCTTGAACAAGCGTGGTTCTGCAGAACATTTTTTGTGATGCCATTCACCTTTTTGCTGAATCCTTTTTAACATTACTGTTTTCTTTTTTTGTATAGAAGGTACTTAGATACTTTCAGTTGCTCCTTGTTTAAATGTCTTTAAATTAAGACTAATAGTGTCAAAGCTTGTATTGCCTCTTAGATTCTTCTTAGCTTGTTCTGTTGATGTCCTTTCAAAAGGTGAACATTACTAGAAGGTGCCAATCTGTGACTGAATGGCCTGAGTCCCACTGGTTTGGGATAGCACTATTGCTAATTGCTGATGATTATAAAAGAGGTAAATGCCTTCAGTTAGGAAATACCTGCCTTTGTAATTTCTATAAATGCTGACATGGGAGGGGAAACACCAATGAACTGTGAAATAGGAAACGCGGAATAAAATCTCCTTCCTTCTCCTAGGTATGAACTCATAGAGAGAGGTGTGTTCACAGCCAAAGACATTGGGTTTGTGCCAACTGTGTACACATGCAACCAGCAACTGAAGGCTGAGAATATGCGTTTGAAGGAAGATCTGGACAGCTATAAACGTGCTGCTAAGTATGTCATTTGGTTTAATGAAACTTTGATATACAGATAAAGTAAACCCAAGTGCTTAATGGAAAGAATAAATTTGTGTTCATTATGCTGGCTGCACATATTTATACTTTTAGGTGATAATTAAAATTGAAGTGTAATTTTTTTTCTGTGTTCTTTTGGAAACAAAAATCTTGATTTTATTTTATCTTTACTGGGCTCTATAACATAATTTTCAAGATGCAGTGATCAGAATAAATTAATGCAAAGAATCAAGAGGTTGTTATTTGTAGAAGAAGGATGTAAATTATCATACGTATTATGTAGTAACATATCATACTATAAATTAGAACTACTACAAAATGTCAGCATAGAAAAAAACTCTTTACTCTCTTCTTAAAAAGAAGGCAAGAAATCAATCACTTTGGTCTTAGCAGTATGTCAGTATAAATAACCTTCATTGATTACATTTATGTGTAAATTGCAGTAGGTGATGTTCCAAGGCAGTTGTACTAAAGATATAAGAGTTAAAATATTTAGCCTGTGTAGTGGAGATGCAGCCTTTTCTGAAGAAAGGTCGATCTGCACGTGTTCATTAGGAATTAACCTTAAGAGATAACATCATACTTTGCTTTGATTTTTTCCTACTGCTTAATTTCAAAACATGGGCCTGTAGAAATCACATAAGCAACAGTCATGAATAAGACAATCAGGCAAACAAAGTAACCCTCCATCTTCCTGGTTTTTGTCTAGATTGGTCAAGATATTTGTTTTCATTAACATCTATATGAACAACAGCTACTTAGATCTTAAATAGTCATTATCACCAGCAGTGATTATAATCAAATTATTTTCCAGTGATAATGATTTATTACCTTTTAATTGGAAAAATTAGTTGACTGTTGTCTAATAGCTATGTAAACAGCTTTGATAAGGTCAAATAGCGCACCATCAATTAGACTGGAAGATGAGCCATATATAAAACACTCCTTTATATTCATCTGCAATTTTTTTGGACATTTGTTTTCAGTGCTGAGTGTCTCCTGTGTATGTTGGAGGGCAAGGAGCTCTCACATGCACAGTGGAAGACAGCAATAAAAGCCTAGCCCTTCTGAAATGCGTTACTGTTGGTAGTTCTTTTTTTGATAGGACTTAAACCAGCTGGGGGCAAATTCCTTATATTGGCATTCACTGTTAAATGTTGCACTTACTCCACGTGTATCATATTAAAGCAGTGTTACAGTTACTCCTGCTTTCTGCAGTGCCAGGGAGAACTTTCATAGCCTTTCTGCTGGTATCACGGTTGAATGTAAGTAACCATGGAACCGTTTGTAACAGTGGTACCTATTTCATTTGTCAATATTCTTTAATATAAAATGATTTTCCTAGTTTTCGTTTGTGCAGTTCGTTTCACTTCTTTGTTTTGAATATTCTGTGAGTTGAAACAGTCCTGTTTCTGGAATAAAGAGGGAAACAAAGATTTTACTTTGTTGATAGTGAATTAGTATTTCCTTGTCTTTAGGCTAAACCTTGGCTGTGACACCTGGCTCTATCTCCTTTAATTCAGGTGTTTAATGAGGTTTTTCTTGTTTGTCCATTCAGTAACCAGAGTCAGTACCTTTGCTATGATAAAGCTAATATTTGTCAGGAGCCTAAATTACCTAGAAGACAACCTGGTTTTTCAAGTATTGAGAGAGAGAATTCACCAACCTGCACTCACATCAGGTTGGCTAAGAGCTCTGAAGAAATGTTGATTTGACTGGTTAGAAAATAATGATGTCTTATCAAAGAAAGACTCATATTTTGCTATGTGGATCTCTCAGAAAGCTTTCACAGTTAGAATGCAGTGCTGTGAAGTGTATTTGAAGATAGCTTTTAATCACACTTGGTATTTTTTGAGCTTGCTTCTCTTGACAACCTTCAGCTGAAAAGAGGCAGTGTTTGGGACTGAAAGCAGTATTGGGGCTCAGCTGTAAACTAGTTCCCTTCTGCAATAATGTTGTTTAACAATTGGTGGAAGGGTGTTTAGAAGGGAAATGTAATTTTGGATATATTAATGTAGTATTTATGTGATTGTATGACAAGCAATGAACACATAGAGTAGATTTCAGTCTGTTGGTTGTGTTTCACTGTGACTTTTGTTTATAGGGAAAATGACAAATGACCTCACTGACTTTACACAGCGAGTGTACATGTGTAACAGATTGTCCACTATCTGAAATCATCTTGAAATATAACAAAATCCCTCAGATGTATATATTAAAAGCAATAAATCAGCCATTCCCTTAAAGCTTAGATATTCTAGTAATTGAAATAAATTACTAAAAACGGGTGTATTCTGGTAGGAATAGGTTTGTTGTGTAACAATAGTTAAAATATACTGAAGTATGCTCCACTTAGTTTCATCTTGAAAGCCACAGCTGATCTCTGATCCTTTGATAAGGGATGCTATCTGACATAGTATTTCTCTAATAGTAGCCTAGATATTCTTCCTAATACACAAGAAACACCTGAAAACATTATCTCTGGAAATTGTTAACTCTTAAAGTAAACTAGTTTAATTCATTTTCTTCAGTGAGGATTTGTCATTCAAGAATTTAATGTTATAGTAACACTCTTTGGTTGTGAGGTGAATAATGGATTATGATTTCATAATCATGTTAAACTCTGGCTCTCTAATTTTAAGTGCCTTGATATTTTCCTGTGACCAGATCCTTTTCCTACTTCTGTGTTTAAATGTGTAGGTAGACAACATGATGAGAAATCAATTGGAAGATTGCATTGCACTTACATGCAAGTGATTACATGTGCTGCTAGAATAGATAGAAATTCTTTAAACTTCTAGGAATTTATTTCGTAGATGGAGTGAAAATTGCTTAGGATCTTTGTCAGTGCATTTCATAAGTACACAAAGACCAATTAGGAAGTAAAAATATTTTTAGGTAGCTTTCTGCCTTGATTTTTGGAAACGTGCTCGCAAGTGTTCACTCCAGTTACAGGCAGTGTAATGGTTAAAAACAAAGCAGTCTAGGAAAATGTATTGATTATTACTATTCCTCCTATCTCCAGCAATAAAATCAGTTGATTCCTACCTCACTGCCAAGATTTTAACAGTCCTGCACTTATTTATTCATTTACACCATGAAAAAATACAGAAGGTTCACATTTTTTGTGTCATGCGCCATATTTAAACTCATCTGTTTAATTATGTGGTACTTTTAACGTTCTTGTTGTTAGATATTTTAAATAAAAGCAGGAGGGTATACACTTTCTAACATTCTCTTTACTTTGATTAATATTCCTAAGGCTACAATTTTCAGCGTCTTGGAGAATTGACTTCCACATGAGTTTAGTTGGAACGAGGCACGAAACTTACTTTGAAAATCCCTACTTGGTTTAATTGAGCTCTGCCCTCTTCTGCCATTTTTATCAAACTATTTCAGAAGAGTTTGAGTGGCTAGGCGTGCAGTCTCTGACATGTATCTTAACCAAGCCATCTGCTTAGCTTAGAAGGAATGGGTTTTGTATTCAAGGTCTTATGGCAAGTCAGATTTTATGTGAGCGGTGTTACGATGGAGGCGTTTCGCAGAACTATACTAAAATCAGTGATTCATTTACCTCTCAATTTGTTTGCCATCCTCAGGAGTTTCAGCAGAATCATTAATCTGTGCTTTATATCCCTATGTCAGTGTTCCAAGTTATTCTGGTTCACAACTTTAGTGTGTGTGTGTGCACAAAGCTATGTATGTTCCTGCAGCTTTATGGAGGCTTGTTCTAGTGGTTCCTGCAGAGGAATTGCTGCCTGTTTGCATTTCACTGACAGCTTTGACTGCTATACACTATCATTAAATTCACTGTGCTTTTCTTCAGATCTTTTTGACTGTTGCTGCTACAAGCAGTGATTCACATAGATATGATAGTTTGTATCAGTAGTAAATAAAGCAAATGTGCATATATAGTGAGTATATATTATTTGTACTATTAAATACAAGGCATTTTATGTGTAATACTTAGAGGTCCTGTTCCTGGACCTGTAATTTTTGCGTGCACTGTTGTCATAATGGTTTTCCTAACAATTCCACTCCTCTGTTGAGGATGAAATGAGCTTTATTTTTGCAAAGAGCAAATATCTGATTTCTGTGCGAGGTAATTTCAAGCTTCCTTTGTAATTTAATAATGCATGTACTAATCTTTCCTACCAAATACACATAAGTGAGAGCGAGGAGAATTTTTATATTGTAAATACGCAGAGGGGTATTTTAAGTTTACAGAGGAAAGTGTCTGTGTCCTCTGGCTGTATGTAGAATATACTTAAAGAAAAACAGGTTATTGGTACGTTTGCAATTTTGAAATTGGTGTTTTCCTGCCTGCTGTTATGTACAGAGGATAATGCCTGGGAATAGGCTGCATGCTATTGGGTAGAGCCTAGAACTTTTCTAGTGTAGTTTTCTTCCAGAAACACTCTAAACACATATATAACACATGTAGGGCACTGGGGCACTTTTCCATCTGTCTGTGTCTTTCTGATATGTCCTGCTAACTCTGAGGCTTATAATGCCAGGATCCCTATGGATTCCACCTAAAGGAACGGAGAAAAGGTAAGGAGGTGAAGAGTCTCTATGGTTTTGTATGCCACTAAGCAACAGAAAACCTCAAAGTATGTCTTTTTTTTTTACCACAGGGCATAGTAGCAAGTCTCACACTTGGATACAGTGCATATGTGCATATCTGAATGTGTATTCTGTGTGAATTCAGCACACAGTAGGAGGAAGCTAATACATTTCTCATGCATTTTCTGTTGATGTGCAGCAAAGCAAAAGATGCTTTCCTAAAAATGCAGAAAGAACGTGACTTCCATAGGATGCACCACAAGCGAGTGGTCCAGGAGAAAAACAGGCTTATATGTGACATTAAAAGGTAAAAAATATAAAAACATTTTTATTTATGTAAAAATAACATCTTCAGTTGTTACCTAGTGTGACTGTTAGGGAACTGTTAGGTCATGGGCTGAACCAGTGATTGAGCATCTGGTAAAGAGGCATGGCTTGCCCTGGGATCACAGGTGGGAGCTACTGCCCCTCTGTAACCTCATTTAAGGGCTGGTGTCTGAGAGGGAAACATCTCTTTTGGGTGATCACTTCTCTCTGGGAGTTTTTGGTGAGCCCTCACCTCTGGAATGAGGTAAGCTATTCTTTTCTTAGTACTGGGTTATTACTAATGCCTTTCACAGGTTGGCCTCCCACCAGGTTTTAGGACACTTCCTGTTTCTCTTCACCTGATACACCTGGAAATAATATAGTATAGAGGCATTTAAAGTGCTGAAGTAAAGCTTCATATGAACTTACTATGATGCTTTGGTTGCAAATAAGCCCAAACTAGGCCGTTGGCATTAAGTTAAACTAATTCATTTTAGAAAATTTAATTTCATAATTCTGTCATTCAGAAAACATAACAGAACTCCATTTACTGTTGTGTCTCTTTCCCTCAACAAGTAGATCTTGTATGTTGTCCATATGAAAATCATTGGGCCAGCTGGAAGAGTTGAGTCTAGAATCTTTTTTTTTTGCACATTTATGCACATTGCTTAGTTTTAAAACAAAATTGTAGAGTGCTTTATACCCACAGTTCCAATCGTTTCCTAGAATTCTGGCCTGTCACTATTGTTATCAATACATGCAACAGAAGCTATGAGTTCTATGCATTTAACTTTCAAATTTATATGTATTAATGCAGGAGAGCACTGTTCACTGCCTCTGTATGTCAGCATTTTGCAAAATGCAGTCTCTTTGAAGCTGTTAGTGTCATGCATTGCACTGATCAGTTTCTCTTGAGAGATTATATATCTGACTTTAATTTGGTCTGAGGAATTAAAGTGGTTAAGTATTCTAAATATAACGTTCCGTGCAGTTAACAAATCATCACCACATTACACATTTTGCCTGGATTAGGATCTGAGTCAGTAGTTTGGGGAATTACATAGGCAGAAATCTCTTATTTAACTCATCTTTGAGGAAACATTTGTTTCTTCTTGTTCACAGGCTGAAGGCGCATTATGCTTCATACGAACCAGTGCTGAAGCAGCTGACTGAGAAATACCAGTCTGCACTGAGGCAGAAGATGTTAACTGGTTTGGAGAGAGACAGAGCAGTTGGGCAGGTAAAATGATGGCAGCCACTACTTGCGAAGCTGTACGAAGTGCTTTTGGTAAATAATTTGATTAACAGAATATTTATGGTAGAACAACTCGCTTAAGTGATAGCTTGAAGCAGGATATTTTAGTGAGGTTTTTATTTGGTAATATGTTAATATTGAAAATATGTGAATCCTAGTGCTCTAGGTAGTAGTTCTCATTTGTTGCCAATGCTGGAAGAGCAGTGCTAAGTAATGTGCAGCTGCTGCACGTTCATTCTTTGTCAACAGATTGAGGAAAGGTGTGTTATTACTACAGATTCATATGTTTCCATCTATGCTTTTAGAAATCTCTTAAATTTACTACTATTTATTTACTTTTTTCCTAGTTGTAACCAGGAGTTACAAGTATCCAAATGTATTTTTTCCTAACTAGTAGGTACCAGAGATCTTATGGCAGGAATAATGGAGTATATTTTGCTTCTGTGGTCTTATTTGATGTATAGGTTAGTATACGTGACATTCCATTCCATTAGCAGAAGGTTCTATAAGCACAGATAGGATGGGCAAAGAACAGAAAATTATCTTTGTGTTTAGCTAATAGCTTGTTTGCTTAGAAGGAGAAAGAAACTCTGAAAATGCATTGCATTTCAACAGTAGCATTGGCTGTACGTGGGTAACATGAAAGGAATTCAGCATGCTGACGCTCTCTTCTAATAGTCCTCATCTCTCATTTCCTTCTTTCGTCTGCCTCCTGTTTTGCTCAGGTCACCTGAGGGCTCACTTCAAAAGTGTTCAATAAATAAAAGAAGATGTGTTAAAGAAAAAGAAAGGTTACTGTCCAAATGTAGTTATTCTGACTCAGGAATACAAAACGTAAAATGGTTACATTCCTGAGATTCCATAGCATTGGAAAGAGCTGTCTTGTATGAACTGTAAGAATTTTGGAGTGCTGGTGTTTTTGTAACACCTTTTTTTTTGTGGCAGCATGTCATATTGTACCATGAAATTAAAGATCAGTGATAGCAGTGGTTAAAAGCTGCTAGTGGGGTTTGGTCTCAAATATTACACGTGGCTGCTTTGTTTTAAGAAAATTATAGAAGTACTTTGAGAAATTGTGGATGGCTTGTCTTTTATCACACTGTTGTATTGGGTGTTTCCAAAATCTAGAATTGGATTTAATGTTTTTAACTTACAGAAAATAAAAACAGATGCATATAGCTTAAACAGATATCCGTGATGCATGTTGTGAGCACAACAAAATCAGAGTTCGTATAACCTCTTCTTATTTTCTCCTCTGTTCTACAACAGGTTACAGGTTTACAAGCTATACTACATAATTTAGAATCCGGATGTGCAATTCAGATTCCTGCAAAAAAAGGTAAAATAACAACAAACTCACACTGGTTATGAGCTTTTTCATGTTGGGGTGCATTACAAAATCTGGTGTAACAGTAAACTAAAACTACTAACATTGTAAACAGTTTTATCAGCTGTCTTGGTGACAGAGCAGCAGTTTTATTATGGGAATATTTTTTTCTGGCTGAGGACAGTGCTCATGACATCATGAATATGAGTAACTGTGGAAGGACTTAATATTAGGAATCTATGTTGTCTGATTTTGTTATTTTATCTACTAATACTCTTCTTTTTATGAGTGGGCTTGTTTTTTTTTTTTTTTTTAAGTTCCCTGTAAGAAGGTGTATGTGGTGCTATGGGAACATTTTGAAAATACTAGTGTATCTAGTGTACATCTTTAGCTGTATAATATGATTTCAAACAACTTCCCTGTTGCTTTTAATAATTATGCATTTATTCAATTTTCCTAACTATCACAAAAAATTTTTTGGCACTTTATTGTCCTCTGGTTTGCTAGGTAAGTGAAGTCCGTGCTACCACAGATTTGTGAGCACCTCTTCCACTAATAATTTTGTACCTGCTTCCAATTTCAGTTGAATTTGACGGAGAGAGAAATAAGTCTGAAAGAAAACAGGTTTAAAAAAGACTCATGAAAGTAGATAAGATGATAAAGGAAAGCAGTAAGCTCTACTCTTTGACAACAGAGCATTCATAGGAGAACGGTGTTTTGCACCTAGCTTCTGTCACGAGCAGTACTTTGGATTTGACATTAGAGAACTCATAACTTCTCAGTCATGTAGGTATTACATACCATGCAGCTTCCCAGTGAATCATTTCCTGCAATTAGGGCTTAAAGAAGTCCTTTGAAGCACACTCAATTATCTCTTCTGTTTAGTTAAAGAGCATACCAATTTATTTCTGTATGGATCTGGAAGAGTTCTGCAGACTTAGTGGTATAAACTAAGCCATAATTTTTATTTTATATAGAGGCAAATAGCTACTAAATTAAAAAAAAAAAAAAGTTCTGTAATTATAAATTTCATCTATTAAAACAGTAGAATACTGTTATCTTCCTGCTTTTGGATTTTGATGCCTTTTTGTATGAACTAATATTGTATTTCTCAACAAGGCGCATTTTGGGGCCCCAGAATTTCTATCTGTGGCTGTGTGTGTGGGATGTGCTCTCCCCTCATCTTTAAGTCTTCTTACAACTGAAGATACAAACCTGTGTCCCACTGGAGTGAGCTGAACTCATTTTCATTCCACTTCAGACAGTGAGCTAGAGAATGGGCTTTTTGTTTTGTTAGTTTAGGAGGAGGGCATATAGCATTCAGCTTTTCATTGTACTCCGGTTTGCAAATATATATTGTAGGTTTTTCCCCATGCTAGTGTTTTGCATTATAGATGCTCTATCTATCCCTTTCCCACTACACATGCTTTCATTTGTTATCTGAGTGAATCCAAAAACTGCTCTCCGGCTGCTCACAGTTCTTGTTTATTCTTCAGAAATCTTGAGAGCACTTAATAATACCAGAAAGTGACAAGCAGGGGAGCACTTTATAAATGAAAAAATAATAAAAAAAAAACATTTAGTCTCCTGCACAAATTATTAAGCTCATCAGCCACCCACATGCTTATACAAGCTTTAATTTTCTTCATAGCCTGTGTATTGCAAATTAAGCAGTAATTCAGTTCGTTTCTTGCCAATACTTTGCCCTCTAATATTACGTAATTCTTACTGCACTCTGTAGGTCACACTCATGTCTCAGTGGGTGATATTCTCTGATTCAGATACTTTCTGTAGCCTCTCAAATTCTTATTCATGTGATGGTGCAATTGAAACCTTGAGCAGCAGCAGTGCATGCATACTGGTGAGATGTTTGCTGCATTTTTCTCTAAATTTAAGTTCTGAATTCAGAAGAAACCGGTGCTGTTGGACTGGCAAGTCTCTGCTGCAAAGAGATGTACGGCTGCATTATTTTTTCCAGTTCCCGTCTCTTCAGGACTTTGATACTTTGTGCATTGCTACGTTTCAGTTAGAAGTCAGTGAGCACTCAGATTGGCAAGTTTGCCAAGGTGAGATGCCTTTTCTGGCCAGCTGTCTGCTTTCATTGCTTGGAGGTGTGAGGATGGCTGTTTGCCTGGCAGCAGGAGGTTGCCTATCACTGCTGCTGCTTTCCTCCCACACAGTAGTTTGGCAGTGCAACACCTGGAACAAGGACTTTGGCTGGAGGGCATTGAGGGTGGCTAGTACCTAGGTTGGGAGCTGCTCGAGAGTTAGAAGTTTTGCATAGTAGCAGTGAGGTCCAGCACAACCAATCCATTGTGGGTTGTTTGCTTTCAGTGTGAACTGTGCAGAGTATAACTGAGAACAAAGGGAAGCTTCTCAGAGCTTGCTTTATAAATGTGTGTCTGACAGCTGGGTAGAAGAGAAAGTAAGAGAATTTAATGTTAAGCTTAGGACAACTATTCTGGGTATTTTACTAGGCATTTGATGTAGCTACCTTTAGCCTGATGCTTTTTAAATAATTGAATGAGCTAGCATCTGTGATACAGAGCATATAATTTAATTTACTTACTAGGTGTTCTTTTGTTTGTTTTTGTCTTGCTGCCAGTCAGACTGCTATTTAGCTTTGCAAACCCAAGTGCTTGTACCCAAATCTTCAAGAGTTGGTCATCTTCAGGTGTTTTTTAAATGCTTACCAGTTTAAAGCTTTGTTTTCTGTTCACTCACCATGTTTAGAGTTGACAGGAAGAACAGTTAACAGTCATAGAGAAATTAATTTGTGCTTAGGATTAGGACTTGGCCATTTGGGAGGATCTTTTTACGTGTGCTCAGAAGTCAGTTCTGAAAAATAAATTGGTGTAATTTGATTTTACGTTTTGAGTTGAGATTATTTTTAAAAAGGATTGGAAGTTTTTTTGCAAGAAGACTTACATTAAAGCCATTCAGAAAAATGGTGCCATGATCGTACATAGAGAAATCTAATTATCAAAGAGAATTCTTTTCTATTATTATTTCTTAGGATATTGATAGATATTAACAGGTCATTTGCATCCTTACTTGTGGATCAAGACATAATGTTAAGTAGTTCTATAAGAAAAAAACCCAACACTTTAGCCTTAAGAACTAAGCTATTTTGTCACGGTTTACTTATAAACCTGACTGCATGCTATTCTAACAACTGGTTCTCTGAACATCTTGTAGAGCTGTTATTTGCTCAGCGTGTTTCTTGAATTTTCTGAAAACAGGAACTGCTTATTTATTACCCAATTATATTCAAAAGTTGAACTCAGTGAGCTTCTTTAGTCATGGTTGAACTACCTCATTGCTAAGCCTGATAACTGTTCTTTTCCTTTCTTCGATCTGCTGTAATTGCTCTTAGAAGGTCATGTAAAAAGAAATTTAAAAGCCACCAGCTAAAGCAGTTAAACCTAGTTGTCCCAGTTCTAGCTGCGGTGCCGTCGAAATACAAGATCTATAAACACAAGCTGCTCACATCTTAATGCAGTCCTAATGGTTCTTTGCAGTTTGGCTTCTTGTTGTTGAATGGCTTCAGATTTCTAAGCCCTTCAACTATCATAACTCTGTGTTCATTTACAAGTATGTGCATTTCAAAGGCCCCACGGATAGGAGTTGCTGAGTGGGGAGGAAGTGTTTGCTTAGAAAACTGTTTTGCATTATACAGTTTCTCAGACAAAGTTATTTAAGGTGTCTGTGATGGTAGATTTAACTTCCAAAGCAGTGAGAATATTTTGTCAGACCAGGCACAGCTGTTTATATGAATTAATTCTACTTTGTTTTGATATATAGGAAAGTTTTGTACTTTTAAAATCCATTATTTTTGTCTCAAGAGAATGACAGAATGGCCTGGGTTGAAAAGGACCTCAAAGATAACCTAGTTTCAACCCCCCTGCTGTGGGCAGGGTCGCCAACCACTAATAACAGTAGAGAGGGTTTCCTCATTTCTTTTCTCTTCTATAAAGACAAAGCATCTATTTTGTGGTCAAGCTTTTACTCACATTTTCTTATACAACAGCAAACATTTAGACGTGTAGCATTAGCTTCAATTGTTTCAACCTAGATTTTAGCCGTGTAATCTGTTTCTGGAGCAATGTAACTGTCCAAAGCCTGTTGGAATTGTACACTTTCCTGTTATCATGTGTACATACTGCAGACTGTTGTAACTAGGTGCAGGGATAGAAATGGACTGTGCTCAGATGCATGGAAGCTGCCACTGCTGAGGGTGTTGAAGAATGCTATCCTTTTTGCTGGATACTGGCAGATTTGCTGTGTGATGGTACATACGAGCCATATCTTTCCTCATATTCCTTTCCACCTATTCTGACAATTTACAGCTATTTTAACTGCTTAGGATTTCTGTGCTGTTGTCAATGTGTAACTAATTGCTTGTTTGGAAGGTGTATTGTGAGAAAGGGCAAAGAAGTAAAAAGGAATGTAAGCTGTAAATCAGAGTAATGCGTTTGTGGTAGATATTAGGTAGGATGCAGTGAGATGATGAATTGCATCCATTTTATTGTGACTCTGTCCTGTACAGAAAGATTCAAAATTATTGCAATGTTTTGAGGGCAAAATCTGAGCTACCTATTACTTAAACTGAAATAGGTCCCTCTAAAGCAATTAGTGGATTGTTAGTTATATGCCTTCTTGGAATACTTAAGACTGTATGTTGCAGTAACCTTGAATATCTTTCTATTTAAAGCAGTGTTTCTGCTGAAACTTTTTATGTCTAGTTAATATCAAGAGACATTTTTCAGGAAAGTGAACAATCCTGATGACACTTATCTTGGGTTTTGTTTTATAGCTGGCCATGAATGTGAAAGGAAGAAGGGCTTGGAAGGTTCCACTCAGAAAGCTCTTCAGGAGGCAAGGCAGCAAAAAATGCTTGATGCTGGTCTGGTTAAAGATTCAGAGAAGAAGAGATATCCAAAGGTATGCACCTTTCTTCTTAGTTGCTCAGTATCTAACTAACCTATGCTTGAAATAATGAGTAAGCTGTGGTGAAGGATGTTATCCAAAGTGGCTGAAAGCAGTCTGTTCTGTAGTTACAGATGTTTCATGAACATAAGTAGGTCAGTAGGTATCAAATTCTTATTTTTCAATGTGAGTTTCTATTGGGAGTAATTTTTCAGGGAATGATAGAGCTTCTTATGGGCTGAGGCCAGCAAGCTACTTTTCAAAGTAGCCTGATGTAGTCACCCCACAAAGAGCACTGCCTATTAATGCATATTGTTCTGTTATGTATCTTCTGTAATTTGGGAGGAATCTTGATGTATTCCATAGGACTTCTCAAGCATTTCAGCTTGTTTCAGCTGGTTTTTAAATGGAATTAGATCTAGGGTACTAAAAAGAAGAAAAATAAGGTGAATTATTAATTGTCAGTGGTATTTTCTTAACTTGAGTGTACCAAGATGTGCTGCTGTTCCATTTTGCAGGTTGTACAAAAATGGATTCCCAACAGAGTTTTTCTAGTTGAAATATTTGTTTTCTTTACTTGGTTTGTTTATTTCTTTATTTTAAAGTTACATCTGGGGGCTCTATAATAGTAAAGATCGAGGTAAACATTCTAAAATGTGGAATTTGTAAGCTCTTAGAAATGTTGCTCTGGCTTATTTTTCTCCGTTTGGGAACCCCTGTTATGGTTGATAGGTTTCTGTAGAAAGCACAACACTATTTCTGTTTAGGTTGTTGTAGTGAAAACCAACTTCAGTCTTTCATATCTCTACAAAGATATCTCTCCAGTTTTTCGTACATTTTATCTGTTACGATTTTTTTTAAAAGCATTTATTTCGTTTGAAATAGTGTAATAGAGTAGTGTAATTCTGCTTCTGAAAAATATATCAATTTATTTCTTTTTTCAATGTCTCCAAATTTTTTGTATACAGTCTTGCTTCTAAAACACTTCCTTCTCATGGAAGTAACTCCATCTCTACTGTTCACCCACCTATTACTCATTGAGTATTACTGAGTCACCTGCCAGTCCCTTTCACCTTCTGTGTTCTTCACCTCGTGCTTAGAAGTGTTCATCTTAGACTCATAGATAGCTCTTTCTTTCATTTTGACTTGTGAACAGATGAATATTCCTTGGCTTACAAAACCCTATTTTTGTTCCTTCTCCTGCTGAAGTCATCACTACTTTTACACTAGATTTTAGTGGAGTTATGTTTCGCCCTCAGAATATATCAACTCTGCTCAGGTAGTCTGCCTGGCTGGCTTACTCTTGTTCTTGAAATTCATGAGCGCTGTTAGTTGACTGGTTCTGGCAAGCATCTGTGCTTCTGCAGATCTTATGTTCCCAAATGACTCCTAACAGAGGCCCAGATGTCTTTATTTAATCAATGGATTAAAAAACTGGAGCAAGTCCAGAAATAAGACATCAGAAAATAGGGACATTTGAATGTGCTAGATTTTTGTCTTGACTGATCAATTTTAGATTTTAGGTATGAGGTTAACAACGGATCGCTTCTGAGAATTAAATCATATGTGGGCTGGTTTTTTACCACTTCACATAAACATCAGAGGAAATGATGAGTCTGTAGGGGGCAAGAGGGTAAGTTAAAATTGCTCAAAACAAACGTGCTCTCACAACTTTGTCCTGTGGTGTGCATTTATTGAACTACAGTACTAATCTAATAACTATAAATAGCGTATTTGTGCTAAACATTTTGGCTTGCAAAGTGTTTGTTCCCATGGAAAGGATTAGGTGTAAATGAGAACCCTGCCCTCTTCAGATCAATTTATGTGACTTTTTGAATAGAACTTGTCTGCCTCATCTCCTTTGGCCCATATCAAAAGATCAGGTCAATTTGTCTGTCTCTTAAGTGACTTAGCTTCTTTTATATAATGCTCCATTTCAATGAGGCTGTCTTTATTAAAGAATCTACTATAAATAATAGTGTTGTTCTCATTTGTAGTGATGACAATCGCTCTCTGAATGTATTTTCGGGGGTGGAATTGCTTACATATATTTAAATAAAGTCTGCACTTGTTTTATACCACAAATGAAGTAAGAAGTATAGTTAAAAGCAAATATATTGTCATGAAGTTATATCCTTGAGCCAAAATTATAAATGTTTGTGTTAGCTGTACAGCTATGGAGATTAAAATAATTTAAAGTCTTTTCTGTGTCTTGTAGCTAAATAATGATGTAAGAAATGCCTCTGCTTACTTCTAAGTAGATGCAAATATGACTCATAGCTGAGGTAGAACATTGACTTGAAGGACAGGCATATATTGTCTTACTGTAATATGCTGTATTAGCTGACATGTAATTTAAAACCCAGTGTCCCTTTGAGATGAAATTTATCCTTGAAGTAGTGAAAAAACAACTGGAAGTTTTTTTTTGAGAGAGATTGTATTCTCTTGATTTTGAAATCTTATTTTACAAGAGTCAAATCATCCAGTAGCAGGCAATTAGGCTGAACTGATTACTTATCTAGTTCTTAAAAAGCCAGTATCGATAGCGTCAATATTATTAGATTATTAATTTGCTCAGAGTACTGCTTTGAACATTTAAATAAATTAAAATGCACTTACAGATCATTAAAATTAAGGAAGCTTTGATAATTTGACTTCCTCTATTCGCTAGAAATTTAATTTTTCAGTTTTATATTATTCTTACTAATTTTTGTCAGGTTCCCCACAGACTACATTCTCTGATTTCTATTAGTTATACTAGCAGGGCAATTGCAGCTTCTCTATATCAAGTTGATTCAATTTCCACATATAATGTATTACAACGCAGTTTCATTTTCTGGAATTTTATTTGGTATAAAACTTTATCAAAAGGTGCACCCGACGTTTCCAGTGACTGAGATGTTATCTGTCTCTGTGGAATGGATTTGGAAATTATGGTGAGTGGCACAATAAAGAAATTACAGAAGTGAAATCCGATGATCATAAGTAACTGCTAGCTTTTGTAATTAACAAGCCTTGGAGTCCAAATAGCACATGCTTACATGTATGAAACCCAGTTTTCTCCTCAGTTATATGCAAGATAGCATAAATTTAGAAATGCCACTGCTTCTGTTTCTGTGAAACAGAAGAGAAGCTAAAATAAATGATTTCTTGATCAGGTTATTGAGCTTGACTATAAGTTATATGTAAATGTGTAAGCCATATTGGAGCAGAATTGGAGAAATAGGAAGGGTAGTAAATGAAATAGGCAATCATTTTGGGTTTGCAGTAAAATTAGCAAGAAGGTACTGATTTGATTTTCAGTAGAGAGAAGAAAAGTGACAGATAAGTCAGGTGTTCTTATCTCTATGGCCCTTCATTGGGATACATTTCCAGTCAGATCCCTAAGAAAATTGATACCAGTTAGAATTGTGAAAGGTTTCATTCGAGAGTATGAGAGAGAAAATACGTGCCTGCGTATCAGATGAGGAACTAAGTAAAAAGAAATTATAGACTGGTAGTTGAAGTTGAAATTCTCAAAGAATTCTGGATTGAAAAAGTGAAAATGTCTGCACATATGGAAGAAACAAGAGATGCTGTGATAGAGGAGATTATTGTTAATTTATGTCTTATTGTTAATTGTAAGTGCTTCTATGTTTTTAATAGAGCTTTGGTTACCATCTCTCAGGTCATTCCTGCAAGAATCCGTGGAAATTTGACCTGATGAAAACCTTCTTAATGAATGGAAGACAGATTGAAATAACACACAGCTATATTGAGTAGGCATTTGCAGAGAGATGTTTTCATTAATGAGGTGGGAAATGAAACAAAATACACTGACTAAATTTGCAAGCCAGTTTATTCTGTTTGGGCTTGACTGGAACAGTAAGTCCAGCTGAAGACAGGAGTACAATTCAAAACTTGACCCATTGGAGAATTTATGGGGGGAAAAAAAAGGCAATGTAAGAAAAGGTTCAGAACTCTACCTTTACAAAAACAGTCAACTGTACAAACATGGATCAAGATGAAAATAAGCAGTTGATTAAATACTGTTTCTTTAGAATAGAATCTAGTGTTTGTTGTATAAAACAAAATTAGCATAAATCAACAGTGACACATTGCAAAATAGCTTAATGCTGTACTGCGGTGTAAAGCAGAAATGTTGTACAGAGAATGTGAAATAACCCTCTTGCTTTGTTCACTTGGCGTGTAGCTTTGAGTGCAGAGTCATGTTCAGTTGGCTCACAGTTCTGTCTTGTGGGAGAAATGTTGCACCTACATTAGAGCAGCAAGAATGATTAGAAGTCTGTGGAACTCAGTTGTGAAAGAAACGGTGAAAGGAGTGAAGTTGCATTTTTTTTACAGAGGGGGAAAAAAAGGCTGTAATATTTAAAATGTAAATGAATTCTGCAAAAAAAAAAAAAAAAAAGAAATAACGTGATAGAACAAGAAGTAATAAGGTCAAATTCCCATAAGAAATAAGAGAACTTCAGATTACATATTAAAATTCGTAATAGTAAGTATGGTGCAGTTCTGGATCAGATTGCCTAGGGAGCTCCTGTCAGTGGAACAGGACAGGCAGGTTTGTCTGAGGAATAACATTGGCGTAGTTGGGGAAAAAAGGATGCACTGACCAACCAGCAGAGGATTTCCTTCCCTGCCATTATTAGATTTATCAAAAAATTGTATTTAGGCAGAAAACACCTTCACCCCTCTCTAAAGAAGCAGGCTCCTTTTATATAAAGAATAGTGATATCAAAATCACCTTCTACTGTTAGTTAGACTCAATGGCAGAGGATGGGGAGTTCCACAACTTAGTGTCTGCAGATGGGAAGGCAGTCAGATGATTTGCCAGCTGTAAATGCTTATTTGACAACCAATGAGCATGACTCTGACTCCACAGGTAGAGAATGAACAGCACCTTTTCCAAAGGACTGCCATCACATATGGAGTGGGAACTGGGGGTTGCTGTGGTGGTAGTGGGTATGAAGAAGCCAAGTATGATCATATTTAGAGTATTATACCTCTTCTACTTA